ATCAAGCAAAGAACAAGATGGGGAGTACGGTGATTTTGAGCTCAGATGAAGAAGATTCAGATATTAGTGACTCTGAAATGGAAGAGTATGGTGACAAAATCTACCTAAGCCTTAAAGGTGGTAAGATCAAGGTCAAACTCTCTCCTCAAGCTTTTGTGTGCCCTTACTGTCCAAACAAGAAGAAACCGAGTTTTCAGTACAAAGATCTTCTTCAACATGCTTCTGGAGTTGGTAATAGCAATTCTGAGAAAAGAAGTGCAAAGGAGAAAGCAAGTCACCTTGCTCTTGTCAAATACCTCCAACAGGATCTTGCTGATTCAGCTTCAGATGCAGAGCCCTCCGCAAAACGCAAGAAAACCGGAAATCCTATTCAAGATTGCGACCACGACGAGAAGCTCGTGTGTCCTTGGAAAGGTACAAAACTTGAGAACCTCACTTTGTTTGCTTATCTTAATAAGATATGAGAATTTGGAGTAATGGATGTTTATCAAATACGTATCAAAATGTTCTTACCTTTTTCCTTGTATTGAGTTGCAATGTGGGTTTATCGACTATGTGTATCCAAAGGTTATTCCTTTTTTCTTCGGTTTAATCGATCGCAATGAAGGTTTTTATTGGATGTGTATATTGATTGTGTATATGTGGCTGAATCAGGTATTGTGGTTAATATTCCAACTACAAAGGCACAAGATGGTCGGTCTGCGGGTGAGAGTGGATCGAAGCTTAGGGATGAGTACATTCAAAGAGGATTCAATCCGACTAGGGTTCGCCCTTTATGGAATTACTGGGGACATTCAGGAACAGCAATTGTGGAGTTTAACAAAGATTGGAATGGACTTCACAATGCTCTTCTGTTCGACAAGGCTTATCGAGTAGATGGTCATGGAAAAAAGGATTGGCTGAAAAAAGATGGTCCCAAATCGGGGCTTTACGCGTGGCTTGCTCGTGCTGATGATTATAACGGAACTAATATTATTGGAGAAAACCTGAGGAAAACGGGTGATCTCAAAACTATAGCAGAGCTTACAGAAGAAGAGGCGAGGAAACAGCAAATGCTTGTGCAGAATCTGACACAGCTTGTAGAAGAGAAAAAGAAAGACATGAAAGAGATTGAGGAACTGTGTTCGGTGAAGTCAAAGGAACTTAATCAGTTGATGGAAGAAAAGGAAAAGAATCTCCAAAAGCATTATCAAGAGCTGAATGCTATACAAGAGAGAACAATGGTTCACATTCAAAAGATCGTTAATGATCACGAAAAATTAAAGATGCAGTTGGAGAACGAGAAGAAGAGACTCGAAGAAAAAGGTATTAAGTTGGCAAAGCGCGAAGCGCATAATGAAACCGAGAGAAAGAATTTGGCTGAAGAGATACAACAGGTATCCATTTACTCTCTCTATCTCTCTTTTTCAAAGATAATAAGGCTTAGATTAATAAAGTGTTTTTTGTTTTTCTTATCAGAATGCATCTGAGAATACTTCTCTTGAACTAGCCTTCATAGAACAACAAAAGGCGGACGAAGAAGTTAAAAAATTGGCGGAAGTTCAGAGGGTTAGTGTCTTTCTCTCATTCTTAAAAAGGTTGGGATTATTTTCATGATCATTGAGAATGACAATGTTGATGTACCTCTCAGAGGAAAAAAGAGGAGCTTCATGAGAAAATCATAAGACTAGAAAGACATAGAGATCAGAAACAAGAGATCGAGCTACAGATCGAGCAGCTGAAAGGAAAGCTAAATGTGAAGAAGCTCTTGGGATCAGACGGCAATGCTGACATCCTGAAAGACGTGGATGATATTTATAAAACTTTAACTGAGAAGGAAGAAGAACTCGCAGAACTTGACAAATTTAACCAAACTCTTATCCTTAGAGAGCGCATGACCAACGATGAGCTTCAAGAAGCTCGTAAAGAACTGGTAAACGTACGTATCAAAGGGTTGTTCTTTTCATTCATTTCAAAAAGGTCTGATAACACTGAAACATAAAATATGACTGTTTCGCCTAAATCTTGGTTTATTTATTTCATTGCATTTGTAGATTATGAAAGAATGGAAATCAAACATCGGTGTGAAGAGAATGGGAGAACTCGTGACGAAACCATTCATGGATGCAATGCAGCAGAAGTATTGTCAGCAAGATGTGGAGGACCGAGCAGTTGAGGTTCTCCAGCTCTGGGAAGACTATCTCAAAGACCCTGATTGGCATCCATACAAACGGATCAAGCTTGAAAATTCAGAAAGAGAAGTGGTAAGATTGCCCTTGATGACTTGGTTTGGTGTTTTGGTTATGTTGAATCTCTCTGAAAGCTTAAAGCTTGCGATTAATTGGGTTTAGGAAGTCATAGACGAGAGAGACGAAAGGCTAAGGGAGCTTAAGGAAGATCTGGGAGATGGTCCTTACAATGCGGTAACAAAAGCTTTGCTGGAGATAAACGAGTATAACCCAAGTGGAAGGTACATTACATCAGAGCTATGGAATATAAAAGAAGATAGGAAGGCTACACTTGAAGAAGGTGTCATTAGTTTGCTTGATCAATGGGAAGAGACAAAACGCAAGCGCGGAATGGCTTAAGGTTATAAAGGTTTCACCTTCTTCTTTTCTTCGATAACTGAACAAAAAGATTTTTCTTCCCCCTATAGAATTTGCTCATATATGATTTGATTGATGTTTTGCAGCTGCGGGAGGTTGGAAACCGGACTGAATAAAACACCGATGCGGTTTGTAGTGTAGAGATATATATGTTTGGTCTGATGAAACTTTGGTGGGTTGTTTTCTACTCAGAACTTAGTGCTTATGGACACATCTTTGATGTTCATTGTAATATTAGTAGGTGTTGGACCTCTTTGGACAATTATGTCATAAAATGTAGCATATCATTGTGCTATAATTCACATGTAAAACTACTAGGTTTAATTTCTCTCGTGTCTCATATCTTAAGCATGTCTTAATGTTTATTGCGTGGATGTTTTTGTGAAATAATTATATAATTCAATAAAATGAATACCAAAACATAAAGACTACTTAAAAGACAAGTGAAGAACATAATAGTAAGTAGTAACCTTGACGGCATGAATTTATGTATCCAGTTTTAACAACCGAAACTGTGGTCAATTTGATCAGACATTAGTTCATTTGAATAACTTACAACAGTTATTCTTTTAAAATCTTTGACATGAGTTACTTTTCAAACTAAAAATTTGAATATTGACTCCTTGAGTACTATGCGAACGTTTCAAAACTAAAGGCCTCCGTTTTAATTTCATGGTCCTATAAAATCTAAGTTGCATCCGTATTAACTCAAACCATCTAACTATTCTTTAACACCATTGTTAAATCATTCAAAAAGTGAAAAATTAAAAACAGCTTGAGAGAGATGGAAAACAAATCGGGAGCTATTGTCTTTGCGATCTTAGCTATGGCCATTGTTCTTCAAGTGAGGCCAGGATTAGCTCAACTTCCTACGATTCCCGGGCTTTTCCCACCGGGTTCTACTATTGATATCGCAAAATGTTGGTCATCTCTCTTTAAAGTCCAAGGATGCGTGGAAGAAATATACAAATCGATCTTTTCTGGTCAATTTGCACACGTTGGAGCAGAATGTTGCAAAACGTTTTCAGCAGTAAATACAAACTGTTGGCCTCATATGTTTCGGTTGAACCCGTTCTTCCCTCCTCTTCTCAAGAACAAATGTGAACGTATTGCCACAGCTCCATCAGCAACACACAAATGAAGGCTATACAGTTAATGATATGTTGCTAGTTAGTTATTAGCTTCTTGGTCTAGTGAAGTTCTTTTGTTGACTTTAGTTATCACAGCTCCCAATAATCCAAACGATTTTTCTTGCAGTTGTTTTTATCGTAATTGAAAATAAACAATGCTAAGCTATATGAAGTACACATATGATTTTGCCATAGGCACAAATTTACTAAAAACAGTGTAACTATATATTCACCTTGAGCATATACGTATTTTTCCAAAAGACCGGTAATAACATAAAAAGATTGTAAAAATAAGAGTTTTAATACTCTTTTTATGTCTCGCGTTTATATATGAAAATATTGTGATTACATGATTGATATTTTTTTACGGCTAAAACGATCCATATAATAATTAATTTGAGGGGAAAAAGTTTGTTTTGGAAGACAATCAATCGGACTCCAAATGACTTATATAGAAAAATAGAAGATCTTGTACTTGCAATCTTTTTGAAAGTTGGTCGGCATAGACATTTAAAACATAGTCCGCCATTG